AATTCTACCTTACAAATCTGGCTAGACCAGAGGATGTACACTGGTACAGATAGGAACTGGAAACACAGAGAATCCAGGGCAGCTGATCCCTTCAGGACCAGTGGTGAGGCTGGTGATACCTGGAGGGTGGAAGGAGGGTGGGGTTGAAAGGGAGAACCGATTACAAGGATCTACATATTATCTCCTCCCTGGGGGACGGACAACAGAAAAGTAGGTGAAGGGAGATGTCAGACACTGCAAGGCATGACAAAATAATAATTTATAAATTATCAAGAGTTCATGAGGGAGTAGGCAGCGAGGAGGGAGGAGAAAAAAATGAGGACCTGATGCCGGGGGCTTAGGTGGAGATTGAATGTTTTGAGAATGATGAGGGCAATGAATGTACAAATGTGCTTTATGTAATTGATGTATATATGAATTGTGATAAGAGTTTTATGAGCCCATAATGAAATGATTAAAAAAATAAAATAAAAGTGACAACTAAAAATAAAAAGAAAGAGCTTAATATGCAAGAACAATTTAATATCGAGAAAACATTCCATCCCAGTCTAGATCAAGTCCGTAAATTTGATATTTTCCCATATGTCTGAAACCAATCTATAAACTCCTCTTTGGAGTCATGAAACACATGCAATGATGCTGAATGCAGGGAGATCACAGGCCAGTGGGTCGAAAATCTGTGGATTCAGTGGCAGCAGAAGCATCTCAGCATGGTAGGGGTCTTCATGTGGCTCCTCCAGCTTGGGGGCTCTGGCTGCATCAGCATAGCTCCATCAGGCTTGTTGTCAGTCATGTCTCACAAGGAGTGAGCGTGGGTCCTGCCTCCAGCGAACTATTTATCTCCTTAGCACCTGCAGATGAGGTCATCAAGCTGCTACCTCATTGACAACCTAGACTCCACCCCTCCACTCTTAAGTCTCAAATTGACAACAGATTGCATAACTACCACACTGGGTTAGACTGAAGAGCACAGAGACAGGAACAAAGAAAGGAAAGAAGTATGCCTCTTGAAATTCTACAGGTAGGAAGCAGGTCAAAGGAGCTTCCTTTTTGTCCTCCAAGAAAAAAAAGATGACCATCCTTGGAGTGGCTCAGGGATCAATAGAACTGATGGAAGTAGCCGGGAAAGTAACACTGCTCAGTTTCAAAGGGTTATCCATAATTGCCTTGAGTTTAAAAGGTGATGTTCAGGTCTCCTTTGTCTCAAAGAATGGTGGCATAGCTCTTTGGCTTGTAGATGATCAACCTATGGCCTCTTAAGTCACAAAAGGTTTCAAAGGGGGAAAAAGAGATTTCATAGAGTCCAATCTCTTCCAACTAGCTTTTGGAGTGTGAGGCTGCCATACACAAAGGGCAAGAAGATGGGACTGGTACCCAAAGAAAATGGATTGATGCTACCACACACAAGGCTCAGGAGAATGAAACTTACAAAACTGGGGGGTAACTTAAGCACTAGGATAATGGAGCTGCGCAAAATTGAGGGAGCAGAGTTACTGAGTTAGTAAATGTAGTATACTCCATGATGGGTTCTATTGTACCTAGACTAATACAGTTACTTTATCAGTGGGCCTGGAAGCCTGGGCTTAAGACAGTGGTTTTCAACCTGTAGGTCGTGACCCTTTAGGGGGTCCAATAACCCTTTCAAAGGGGTCGACTGATTCATAACAGTAGCAAATTACAGTTATGAAGTAGCAACGCACATAATTTTATGGTTGGGGCTTCATCACCACATGAGGAACTATATTAAAAGGTCACGACATTAGGAAGGTTGAGAATCACTGGCTTAAGGTCTGGAATACATTAATGAGGAGAATCCAGAAAGTGAGGCCAACACTGAGTTTGGTGAAAGGGCCATTGCCTAGAGGGTTCTCGAGCTTTGAGCACTAATGGATATTTTCTGTGAGGATTTGGACTTGCTTGGTACTCATTCAAGGAGCCCTCGTACTGCAGTGGCTGCACCTTGGGCTGCTAACTCCAAGGTCAGTCATTCAAAACCACCCGCCACTTTGAGGGGAAAGACAAGGCTCTCTCTACTCCCATAAAGAGTCGCAGTCTCGGAAACTCACCGGGCACGTCGTCCTTGTTTTAGAGGGGCACTGTGGGTCAGCATCGACTCCAGGGCAGTGGGTTTGGCAGTTTTAGCTTCGAGTGTCCATTATTACACCTTTCCCTCCAACTTATTTCATTTTTAGTGGGAATGTCCACCTTGTACTTGTTTTTCCATTGCATAAAGTACAATGGAAATGGATCATTTGTATTCTACATGTCACAGATTTATAGATTTTCCCTGGTCTCCTTCAAATTGATTTAGAGGACTCAGAAGAGATTTTGGATTTTGAGTTGACTGAAGACTTTTGGGATGGACAATGTGTTAGGGTGCCTGTGTTTTTCTCGTTAGAAGGACATAAATGTTGCGGTGCCAAAAGGTATAATCTTATTAATTGCATTGTATTACTCTAAAACATGTGTTATAAATCTTAACTCTTATACTTGAACTTATAATCTCATTTTAGCTATGTTTCTTTGTTATGCTAAGAGGCCATCGTGTGACATTCTTGTACTTTTGACTTACTGTTTTGATTTTTTTTTCCTCTACATCTGCAAAAGTCACATGTTAATTTTGGCTGTAGTTTTTCTTTTTAAAATTAAATATGACTTGAACATACCTTTTAGTATGTTACTGAATGCTGAAATTTGGGGTTAATTCTTTTTTCACTCAACAGTTCAAAATTCTAAGGGTTTCAAAGTAATTAATTTTTTCTTTGCCTTCTGAACGTGTGCCTTGTATAAGAAGATCTGCCCTTTTCAGCGAATTTAATTTTTCTGTGTATATGAACAATTAAATTTTCACCCTATTAGATGTCTCTCAAATCGATATCTCCCCATAGAAATGAAATAAGATTCCATCTAAAATTAAGAAAATGTGTTACTCTGGCTTCACTAGTGGTGTGCCTGTGAATTTGAACATTGGAGCAGAGGACCCTTGGGGGTGCATGGTTCCGTCACTGGTGCCTTTCCCAGTGCAGGTCAAATGAGCAGAGCATTAGCCATCAGTTGCAGTGTTTGGCCTAAATTGTGAATTTGAATATTTTGTGTACATCATTAGAGCAGTGTTTTAGTAGTACACCAAACTTGTATTAGTCAGTTGCCCCTAAAATGGTTATGTTTGTACATTGTTTTGAATTCAACCATGCTGGTTTTAAATGTTACACAATTCAGAGGCAGATAATGTTTGAACTCTCATTGCTTAATAAAATACCGTATCTTAGGCTGGAAAAATATTTATTCATAAAAACGTACTTTTCTCTTCATTCAGTTTTGTCGAAGGAGCATGCTTCGCAAGTCCTGGTGAGGAGACGCCGTGCCAATTCCATGTTTGAAGAAACAAAAGAGGGCAATCTCGAACGGGAGTGCGTAGAGGAACTGTGCAACAAAGAAGAAGCCAGGGAAATCTTCGAGAACAATGCCGAGACGGTAAGAACTTGGGGAGATGATCAAGTAGACCTAAACGTATACACACAACATTTTCAGCTTGTGTATATGCATATGTGTGTGTGTGTGTGTGTGTGTGTGTGTGTCAGTCTGGGTAGACTAGAGAAACAAATCCAGGGAGACACTCATATGTGCATAAGAAAGAGGTTTATATACAAGAGCAGTGGATATTTAGAAAACATTCCAGCCTAGTTCAGATCAAGTCCGTAAGTGCAATACAACCTATAAATCCTTCATTTGACTGACAAAACACATGCAATGACACCGAATGCAGGAAGATCACAGGCCAGTGGGATGGAAGTCATCTGGGTCCAGTGGCATGTGTCTCAGCAGTCACAGGGGGCTGCATCAGGGTAGGTGCATGTAGCTTCTCCAGCTCAGGGCACTAGTGTAGTTCCATGTGTCTAGTCAGCTGCAATGTCTCCCAGGGAGTGAGCAGAGAGAGAGAGCATCTCCTGACTCCAAGGAGGAAAATGCCAGAGTTCCCAGAATTCTCAGAAGGCCAGGCCCATATAGAGGCCTCAATTGTTATATCTTGATTGATAGGCCAGACTCCACCTCTTCACTTGTAATCCTCTCAAATTGACACAAGATTATGGAACTACCAGAGAGAGATAATATATTGCTACTACTGTTATTTATTAAAATTTTCTATTATTTTAAATCATGCTTTACAGAATATACATAATTCCCTAATTCAGACCTTGGTACATAATATTCAGTGAATACTGACAAATTATTTAGAAGAGTGTGTACCCTTAGTATATTTTAATTCATTCAGTAAGCTCTTGGGTAGACCCCTGAATCCATTCATATCCATCCTTGAGGTTAGAACCTATAGGGCTGTAGTGTGCCAGGGCAAAATTTCTCAAGGTAGTCTAGAAAAATCTAATCTTGAGACTAGATATACAGTAAGTGTCAGCTCCATAATTGTCCTAGGGGGGGATGTTCTCTAGCGTGGCTTATAGGTAGCAAAAGTGTACACAAAAGGTCTTCAAAAAGTTCATATAAAAGTGGAATTAAAAGATAATGGAATATTTCTATGAATTTTTTATTTCTTTTAAACACCTTCATAACTTGGTTAGATGATTAAAGTAATTGTATCATGCTTGTTAGCCTTACTTTAGTGCAAGGAAAGACTTGAAACATTTGCAGTGATTTAAAATAGAAGGTGATTGTGATTCTTTATCACAATTTGTTATGACAGGGGATAGTTCAGTTGTTTCTAAGTGAGGACAAATACACGTACACAGGATTAAAGTGGAAGAGGAAGCATGTGATGTAAATGCTTCGAGTGATTTTCCTGAAACGTTGAAAACATTGAGCAGAGAGTTTATTTGCCAGACCAAATGTTGTGTAGAAGAAGATGATTTCTTTTGGAAAAATATACATGGAAAGACCTGTATTTTGAAAGAGGAGGAAACACTTCAGCAGAACATAATATATCTCAACGGATAGGCTAACTTTTGTTTGGGGGGTGACATAGCTGGAGATTTGGAGCTCAAAGCTCAAAATCATTTCCTGAATCTGAGAGCGTATCCTTAAGGCATAACTCCTACCTTACCTACTCCAAATTTGTTTTGCTGTAATTTTTAGGACAAACTTTAATGTTCCAGATACTATACTACCAATCCAGTCCCACTGTTGTTGAGTTAATTCCAACTCATGGGACCCGGTAGGCTTTATACTTTGCAAACAGAGACTGCCACTCTATCTCAGGAAGAGGCCAATGGATCCCAAAAGCTGCATTTCCACTGAGAAGCCAAGTGCTTATGGGGGGTGTTAGATTTTATATTAAGCACCTGCAGATGCTTCAGCGTGTGTTTCTGTAGGGTCACCTTGAGTTGGAATTGACTTGATGGCAGCGGGGCTTTTTGCTTTTTGTTTGCTTGCATTTCTCATTCCACACACACCTTTCTAAGTGACAAAAGGCGAGTAAGTAGAAGAACAAAAAAGAAAGAAAACTCAGCTAGGTGCTGCCTCTCTCCACTGGTTCTTCCACTGAGGTCACTGACGGAAGAGAGAGAGATGACAGAAAGGATGGAAGAAATGAAAGAAAAGAAAGAATGAAACAAACAAACCGCCATTTGTTACTGCAGTGCACTTTCCATCCTATCTCACAACTAATTCCTGTCCACTGCCCTACTGTCTTTGACCATAGCCCCAGGTATCTTCACTTCTTAGAACCCCTGCCTTGTTGCTTAGCTCTTCACGGTTCAAGTTTCTTTCCATTGTCCCTTTGGTGTGCTTATCCTCCTACTTCCGTTCTGTAAGGGGCTTCAAAAAATTAATGAAAAATGGAATGAAAAGATAAGGAATTTGACAGACTTTTTGTGAAGCCCCGTTATATGAGACCACAGTGCTATCTGTGTTACTTGATAGTAAATCTCATCCTTATGTACCAGAAGGTAACTGCTATGTAAGATTGTATGTGATAGCAGGACAGACTGAACAATGTGACTTCACAGAGGATGAAGATATGGTATGTGTTTGCCCATTAGGAATGTTGTGTATTTTTTTGAAACATTTTCTCACGGGTTTTTCTTATGATTTTAATGTTGCACAATTTGACGTATTATGGCTAAGAAGCCTTTTTGTAAACCAGCCTGGGAAACTTACCATCAGAAATTTTAAACATTTTATTCTCTTCATGAAAGCACATATGAAATAGTTTATTCAAAATTACCGATTTACAGATAAACTTCTGGTGTAAAACAAATTGATAAGAAATGTATTATATACATATATATATATATAATTCTAAAGAAAATAACTACTTTTATTACCTTCAAGTTATGCTATTATTATTAAATATTAAATTTCATTTATGCAAACATCATGATATAAGACATTTGAATCAAAATCAGCCAAGCCAAACCCATTGCTGTTGAGTCGACTCTGATGCATGGAATCCCTGTATGACAAAGTAGTATTGCTCCACGGAATTTATAAGGCTGTAACCTTTTCTCCCGTAGACTGATTGGGGGTTTAAATAGCTAAACTAAGCACTTAACATTGTGCCACTAAGCCTCATTATATGAAATATATATTTTATAAAAGGTTGCTCTTGCTAATCATTGAATGTGACAAAAATTAAAAAAAATTATTATAAAGAGGGAATATAATATTATACTCATTTTAAATAGAATCTTTTCAGATTAGGAGTTCTTAAAACATGACTTGCCGTATATACTTGTGTATAAGCTGAGTTTTTCAACACCTTTTTAAAATCATTTTATTGGGGTCTTATGCAACTCTTATCACAATCCATACATGCATCAATTGTGTCAAGCACACTTGTACATGCGTTGCCCTCATCATTCTTAAAACATTTGCTTTCCATTGATATCTTGGAATCAACTCTTCATTTTTCACTTTTTTTCCCTCCCTCCCCTCTCCTTGCTCCCTCATGAGCCCTTGATAATTTATAAATTATTATTATTTTGTCATATCTTACACTGCCCAGCATCTTCCTTCACCCACTTTACTGTTGTCCATGCCCCAGGGAGAAGGTTATATGTAGATCCTTGTAATCCGTTCCCTTTTTTCTCCCCCACCTTCCCTCCACCCTTCCGGTATCACCACTCTCACCACTGGTCCTGAAGGGATCATCCGCCCTGGATTCCCTGTGTTTCCAGTTCCTATCTGCACCCCTGTACATCCTCTGGTCTAACCAGGTTTGTAAGGTAGAATTGGGATCATGATAGTTGATAGTTGGGGGTAGAGGGGTGGGAGGAAGTATTTAAGAACTAGAGGAAAGTTGTGTGTTTCATCGATGCTACACTGCACCCTGAGTTCAGCACATTTTTAATGCAGTTTTTGTGGTAAAATTAGGTGCCTCGGCTGATATTTGGGTTGGCTTATACTCGAGTATATTTGAGCAATTGATCAATATTATTTTAAGCGTAAGTATCTTATTGGTTTAATGTTTTGTTCATCTATTATATTAAAAATTTATAATGTAATGTATAAATTAAAGTTATATGTAATTTGTACCATATTTAATATACAGACACATTATAAAATTAAATTTAAGCCTTATAGTAAAATTAAGGTTTGCTAAAATGTATGTTTTTCTTTTCTTTCTTTCTAGGAATATTTTTATCCCAAATACATAGGTAAGTTCAAAGGATCTTGGTCATATAATCTTAGAAATTGAAGGGGCCATAGAGATCATCAAGTTCAACCTCTGCCCCTGCATTTCATCCAGTATATTATCGTTAGCTTTGAAAGTGAGAGCTCATGCTACATTGAATTTTGATGTCTTTTTATGGAAAGATATGCAGATACACTTGAGTTTTTAAAAATTCTTTGTACAATTTGACTTTCAGTCTTTCTCATCCTGATGTTTCTCACTCATTGGACAGATGTAACATCATATTTAGATCTTTGAATCAACGAATTATCTTTAATTCATGGGTTAATTTTTAATGAAAGGAAAGATATGCATTTCTATACTTCTCCATAGCTTAGGGATAAAAAATATATCAGTTCAGTATTATAAAACTCATTAAAAAATTATCTCTTTAGCACATTGTTTTATCTTACCCTGTGGTATTCCATTAAGGCTCTGCTTTTGGATACTATTCTGGAATTTCAAGGAGTGAAGAGTATTCCCAGATCCAAACTACTCTAAGTGACTTTAACAATACTTCAGTTTGCTTTAAGAAAACACACACAATCATTATTTTCAGATACCCTATTTATGAATTTATTTATTTCTAAAATAGATTTAAAAATCCCAAATCAGTACATAATGGTTCTTTCAAGGTTATTGGCAGGTATCTTCAGGTAGAAAAAAAGTGTGTGTCAACTGAAACATACATTCCCAGCTGATATGTGTTGTGGCTGCAACTCTGGGCTCAACCGTAACTATATGGGCTCAACAATCCTCATAACTATAGTTGTGAGGATGGTGCTGGACTGGGCCCTGTTTCCTTCTGTTGTGCTATGTGTCAGCACCTAACAACCAAAATTCCTGCTTCAGGCTGCTAATAATACTTAACTCCAGTGAGCCATTCTTTGTCCATTTGTTAAATGGATAGTATTTATTTACCATGTAAGTTGGTAGCAATAATAATCATCATAATATGAGACAGTATTTCCAAAGCACCTATTTGTATGACTGGATTCCTATGTTGTGAGCTCGTATCTGGACCAGTGTACATGCTCCGGTTAAGCCAGAACTGAAAGGCAGGACTGGGGTCATAAAAGTGGGGGGTGAGAAAGCCTCAAGGAACCAGAGGAATATTGTGTGTTTCATTGGTGCTATACTGTACCCTGATTGACAATTCCCTTCCTTGTGACCCTTCTGGGAGGGGATGTCCTATTGTCTTCAGATGGGTTTTGGAGCTCTGCTCTGACCCCCTTGTTCTCAGCAATATGTTTTTGTTTGTTTGTTTTGGGTCTTCCTATGTGAGTTACCTGATTCCATCGACAACTCATGATTGCACAGGCTGGTGTGCTTCTTCCATGTGGGCTTGTTGCTTCTTAGCTAGATCGCCACTTGTTTAACGTCAAGCCTTTAACCCCAGACGCTATATCTTTTGATAGCCGGGCACCATCAGCTTTCTTCACCACATTTGCTTGTGCACCCATTTGTCTTCAGCAATCATGCTGGGAGGGTGAGAATCACAGAATATCAGTTTGTTAGCACAATGTGTTCTCGTGTTGAGGGAGGGCTTGAGCAGAGGTCAAAGTTCACCCACTCCCTCAATGTATTGATATATATATGTATATATATATGTATATATATATGTGCTAATACCTCTATTTTTATGAATTAAGATATTTACATATGTACACACCTACATTTATATCTCTATCCATAGCTTTGCTTCCTAGATCTGTCCTGTTTCCTTTTACCTTCCTCTTATCCCACCATAATGCGTGCCCTTCTTTTGCCTTTTAGTAATTCCTCTCCACTAGATTGCTGTTGCTCCAACAGACCCATGATCTCTACGTCCTCCCCATTGTTGATTTTAATTCCCTAGTTTTTCCCTTGTCTATGGCGTCATTTGCTTACCACTCTATTGCCCCACCCCTTCCTACCCCCAAGTCCCTCTGTAACTGTCAGTCCCATTGTTTTTTGCTCGGTCTTGCTTCCTGTGCCTATCTTATATAGGTAAGCAAACCAATGATAAAGGAGATAAAACTAAAAGAAAAAAGATTGAATAAAAAGAGAGGGAAAAAAACCTAGCAAAACCCAAAAAAAACCCCAACCCCAACAACAAAAAGGCATAGATAATTCCAGATCTGTCTGCAGACCTTTTTGACTATCTCCCCACCAGTCCTGGGGGGTTCCGGGAACTGTCCCTCCCAGCCTCAAGTCTATTTTGGGGGCTCTTCTGGGGCTTTGTGACTTTGCTGTGCTTCTGTTGCTGATCTGTTATGTTCCCTTCTTGGTTTGCCCCACTGTGAGGGGTTCTGACTGGACTCACTCCCTACATGAGGCCCCATTATTGTCCTCTGGCACGATATGCTACAGCAAGGGGACATCATGAGAGACAGGAACTCTTTATGGAAACACAAAGCCTTGTCTTTCTCTGGTGATTTCAAACTGCTGACCTTGTGGTTAGTAACCCAACGCATTACCACTACACCACCAGGGCTCCTTATGAGAAAATATGGTTTTCTAAAACCTATAGCTGCCAATGGAATATAGGTATATAAACATATGAAAAGTTTTTTCATTGTAAAGGTCTGCATGACGTCTTGCTTTCTAAAACAGAAATTAGCCCTTTGAGCTGTTAAAGTGGAAATTATCAAGACTGTCCCAGCATTTCAATATTTAGGAAAAATTTAAATATTTAAAAATAAGTAAACAATATAAAAGTAATAATTGCTTGTTATAATATGTTTTATGAAAATAAATAATAGTATTACGTTTTACTTCCCAGGACTTTGCAATTAGGCTATGTTACTTCAAACATTTACATTTATGTAAATTTACATTTAAGGAAAATTAAATAAATTTTAAGGGAGTATTATCTGTTTGGGATAAGTTCCTTAAAATGTTTTTTCCTTCATTATCTTTCTCAACTTCCTCTTTTCTTTTTTTGGCTCCACTCTGTTTTCTTTTTGTCTATCTCATTTGGCAGCCGGCAGAAAGCCAAAGTATAAAAACAATCACAAGATGTGGACTAGAGTCCCTGGTTTAAAAAAAAATTGAGCTGTATCAGATTAAACAAGTTACATAACTTTTAGGTTCTGTGTTTTCAAATGTACACTATGTATTTTCTAACTTTGGTGCTACTTGAAATACCCAAATATATATGTGTGTGTATACATATATAAATATTTAAATTGTATAATGCTTTCTATAATTGTAAAGTAATATTTTATTAATTGAGATTATGAAACTAATGTTCCCCTTTTATGGCTTATTCTTATCTACATTTTATATTTAGGTTTTTATGTATACATAGGCATATGAGATGAATTTTATATTGAAACAGAAAACAAAACCAGAAAGCCCTAGATAAGTTATATTTTTTATTGATGTAAATACTCTGTAGTCTAATGAATATTCAATTAGAAAAAAATAGCAGAACTCATAATGTATTCAGTTAATTTAGAATAATTTAACTATTATATACAAAACTGTAGAAAACTACAGGTCAAGGAAATGATTACAGTCCATTAGATTATCCAGAAGATTAAGCAAGATTAGTCCTTTGGGATATTGTTTAGATTCAGAGGTTCAGAGGTTAAGAAAATATTTTAATTGATTCACCTATTTTATGTACTGCCCTGAAAATATGCAATTTGGAATAGAAATGTCCCATTAGACTTTTTTACATAAACATGAATTATTAAACTGTGATGTTTTCTCTTTTAGGAAATAGGCTACATAGTTCCATTCTTTGTATAGGTCTTCAAAAATATCACTTGATTGAATGGATAATTCTATTAATGGAAAACAGTATTCCCTGACAATACTAAATTTTGAGCCTATATATTGGTCTTAAAAATATATTTATAATGTCCAATTCTTTCCAAGTTGGTGAATGTGTTTAGGCAGCTGACTCTATCCTTTCAAATCAACTTTAAAGAGTTACAACAGCATTCCAGACACTAATGATAACAAGCATAACAAAAATAACAGGAAGTGTGAGAAACCCCAGGGAAGACTGCAGACTGGCTACATTTGATATGCGTGTTTAGAAACTGAAACACTGATGTTGAAGCAGCAGTTAGAGGACAGACTGGAGGGTTTTAAAGATGCCCCAAGCAATCAGCTCCAGGAAAACAACAACAACAACAACAACAACAAAATCCTTCATAGATTAAATCCTGAGAAATAAGAACTCATAAAACATTGTAGTCTAAAGCTAAATTATTAAACCTGTAGCTCTCTATGTAGGCAATAACTCAGTAGACATTCAATGGAAAATATCATTCATAATGGCAGGTAAAATATTTAGAAGTACCGTAAGATTAAAGAACATCTCGATGGAGAAAATTTAATACTCAAATTAAGGATATAGAAGATGGACTGAAACCTGGAGAGCATGGATATTTTATTTTTATTAAAAGATTATTTAATTGACGCTCTTAAAACTCTTATAAGAATCCCTACATCAGTTGTATCAAGCATATTTGTACATATGTTACCATCATTCTTTTCTAGACATTTACTTTTTATTGGGCCCTTGATATCAGCTCCTCTCTTTTCCCTCCCTGCCCCTCGCCCTCATGACCCGTTGATAAATTATAAATTATTATTATTTTCAGATCTTGCACCAACTACTGTGCCCATTCCCCCATGGTTCCTGTTGTTCTCCCCCATGGAGGGGTGTGTGTGTGTGGTTTAGGGTCCATCACTGCCATCAGTTCCCCCTTCTTCCCCTCCTTCCCCACCTTTCCCTACCCTTCTGATATCACTATTCCCATTCCTGCTCCTGTGTTTTATGTATGGTCAGCTCTTATCTCTTATCTGTACCTGTGCACATGCTCCGATCTAACCCAAAGTAAAAGGCAATACTGGGGTCATGATAGTGGAGGTGAGGAAGCCTCAAGGAACCAAAGGAATATTGTGTGTTTCACCAGTGCTTTACTGTGCCCTGGTTGACTCATCCCTTCTCTGTGACCCCACTGTGAGGGGATGTCCTATTGT